ATGGTTTCTTTCATTATATTTTTTATAACTGGAGACATGGCTTATATTAACACGCAACAACAAAAAGTAATAAAATAAAATGAGGTAAAATACTTTTTTAATTTTAATAAATTTTATTTAGTTTTTTCTTTCAACTCTGCTATTTATTAGAAATTTTAAAGTTGAAACTGTTTTCTTCGTGGAGTTATATTCTCAGTTAAACAATTCATTTTTAATGGTATTACAAATGTAGCAAGGGGTGCTATGTGTCTATTTCTTTATGAATCACACACACACTGCTGTTTTATGTTGACCATTGTTTAGTTTAAAAAATATTGAGAATTGTTGGGTTTTCTTACATAAAGAGCCACTGAGGTCCATCCATCAGAGAAGCATGCTTTTGAAAATAAAACCCACTGACATGGAATAGCTTTGTTTGACAGTGTGAAGATCAAACTGGATGACAGCTACTCCCAGATAATGAGTGTAATACAGTTACATAGTGAGTGAATTCTATTTATAATCTTTAATTCTATTTAGAGTAAAATTCATGTTACATGGAACATCATCAAGATATGACAATGATAACAGAGGCCAGTAGGTTTCACTGTAGAGTCAGGTGTCAGATTGCATCAAAACCTCAAAACAATTCTGGCTGTTGTTGAAAGTTTTCTTAAAAACTCTGAAAGCAGATAAATATGTGAAAATATATTTCAAAGTAACTGAGAAACATGTATGCTCAGGCAAAATCTGTGACATGTCAGTGGCAAATAAAAAGTTAACAACACGATTAACTGAACAGCAGTTAGATATTTTGGAGAGAAGTAACTTATTAATGAATTCCTGAAACTGGCACAGTCTGTCACAAGAAACTCATTGAGGCTGCATAACAGACCTTCATAATTCAGTTATGGAACTATTTATTAAAAAAAAAAAATAAGTACACATTTTTGCATTTACTTGTTGATATCTTTTTTATTTTCCTTTTGTAAATGAATTTGTATTTCCTAAAAAAAGAGACTGTGGGAGAGAGAAATTTGACAGGTTTCTGTTAAAAAAACAAAACATGTAAAAAGATTTAACACTTGATTTGGTGCATAAAGTTTGCTACTTTGTCAACTGTCTTGTCTTGTCAACAGAGTTGTTTCTTATCTCATGTGTTAAAACCACATCTATGTTACGTCTGGAACTTTTTCTCTCAACCAAGAATGTTTTTAGTAACATTTGCAAACTGTGCAAAAGATCACCTTCCTAAAAGACATAGTCATGATAGTGCAGGTAGTCATGAGAGTGCTTATCAAACCAGTGTACCTCCTCTCATAAAAGGTTAAGAAAATGAGTGGCTTGATTGTTTCTATATGTATCTGACAAAATAAATAAATAAAAAGGACTCTATCGGGAAGTGACAAAGTCTGTGTGAGTGGGAATAAGGATATAACCAATGGTGGAATGCTAGAAGCTTGATTGCCAGTGGTCCTTTTTTGAAGCAACTCATTTTCAGTTAGAAAGAGGAAACAGATCCTCCAGGAGTCATGGAGGTTCGTTAAAGATATCATCACTTTCAGGTTAATAGACACACTGGATCTGAACTGGACGTTTTGGCTGGAAAGTGAAATATAATAGATAATCCATGCAGAAAAGTAGAGCTCAACTGACTTGAGGAAATAGGTGTAAATAAAAGGAGCGCTCTGTGGTGTAGAGGCATCAGTGCACGGATGTGTTAAGGGGAGATGGCAACAGCGATTTCAAAGGTCAGGTGGTTCAGACCTGAGAGAGTTCCACAGGAGTGTGGATTTGTGACATAACAGACTTGAGAGATTTTCCGCCACTTTTCAACTTTAGGGCCTTTATTACTGCAGTATTCAGTGTTCACTTTTCAAGCCATGGCTCCTTTGAAAAAAAAAAATCTAACTTTGAATGTCCATTCTTTTCAATGGAAATAGTGCCTTGCACCAATTTCACCAGTTTGCAATTTGCAAACAGATTGCATGGTCTCGTATTAGTTATTGTGATGTTTAGTGATAGAAGCAAGGCAGTACTAATCAGTTTAGGTCTTTTGGTTTTGTACCTGTGGGTTATAATGTTATTTTAAGCCTCTTCTTTGTGTCATTTTAATAATTACACCCCTGTTGCCATATTATCTTATTTCTCTTACATTTAAAAAACTATTTTTTACATAAGCATGATGTCATAAGGCCCTACAATGTTGAATTCAGGTTCCAGCAGATAATTTTGAGGAACGTTGTGGAATGTTTTTGAAGAGATGCATTGTGAAAAGATGACTCGTGTATATTTTGGAAGCCTGAATTGAAAGTCTATTGTTACAAATGTGTAGTATTTTCAAAAATACAGGTCGTTGTTCAAAAATGTTTTGAATATTGCTTTGATTGAAGAGAAAGTGTACAGTCTCATACACTGGGTTGCCTGTGTCGAGCGGGTGGGCGTTGCGGCTTTACGCCACCATGACATGCTTTGTGGCAGGGCTGTCGATGTGCAGTTCTTCTCTTAGCTGCCACACCCGTTGTTGTGCTGTTATAACCCATGCTGGATACACGTTCAGTAAAGCAGCATCACAAGAAAGCTACCGAGTGGTCATTCTACATACAGTACATACAGTAAGATCAACCTTAATTTAGTTTAGTTATTGAACACTAAATTATATATTAGATTATATATCATATATTAGAAATTTGTTGAAAAATAAAATAAGCTGACCATAAAATAATCTTGTCAATATAACACATAGTAATCAAATACAATTAACACAAAAAGTTAATGTCTGATAAACTATGGAACGCCAGGACTGCCATAATGAATTAATTAAATACACCATTAAATAATTAATTAAATGTGGCAATGATTAATTAAAATCTGAAATAATTAATTACATAAATATTTACGACACATGAAATTACTAGAGAATATACATTGCAATAGATAGTAATGACATTTACTGCTTATGAAGACAAGTGAAAAGAAAATAAGAACAGTGAATAAAAGCAGAAAAAAGTGACACTTCGACACTGTCCTTAAGTTGATAGACTGGTTTTTATGTTAGTAACAGGAGATCATCTTTTTTTGTGTCTGTATCAGATGACAAAGATCTGATATCGGCTATGAGCTCTGCTGACATCTCACTAATTTCCCGTGGTTTTTGTCACCGTGTCTCTTTTCAGATGTTCATATTTTGCAAAGGATGAATGGATGTGAATGGGATGATGAGACTGAAGAGATTAATGGGTTCAATCAATATGGATACGATGGAGAAGACTTTCTATCATCGGACCTACAGACACTGACATGGATCGCTCCAAAACCACAGGCTATCATCACCAAACTGAGATGGGATGCTGAAAAACCTAGATTAAATTACAATAAAAACTTTTACACGCATGAATGCCCTGGGCTTTTAAAGAAGTATGTCCACTACAGGAGAAACCTTTTGCAGACAGCAGGTAAAATTACAGAATATCATGTGAAGTTGTAAAAGAGAAAATGTATGGCTTTTTAAAGCAGAGACAAATTCAAACAAGAATCTAACAACTGCCTGTCTCTCTCCAGTTCTTCCTTCAGTGTCTCTCCTTCAGAAGTCTTCCTCCTCTCCAGTCAGCTGCCACGCTACAGGTTTCTATCCTGACAGAGCCATGATGTTCTGGAGGAAAGATGGAGAGGAGCTTCATGAAGGTGTGGATCTGGGAGAGATCCTTCCCAACAATGATGGGACCTTTCAGACGAGTGTTGATCTCAATGTTTCATCAGTCACACCTGAAGACTGGCAGAGGTACCACTGTGTGTTTCACTTCTATAGTGTGAACAATAACATCATCACCAAACTGGACCGAGCAGTAATCAGGACCAATATGAGTAAGACTGGAGCATTTTTACACAGTAGTTATTAATACTACAGTATTAACATAAAGCATCATACTGAGTTGGCACTCAGTAGTTCCACATAATCGCTAGAATTATTTATTTAGAAGAGGACAACAAGATTCTCACCAAGCACTGGAATCATTCATCAATACAAGTTATTATAATACGTATAATAATATTAACATCAAAACCCTTGAAATGAATGGAATAAACTTTTTGTCTTGTGTACAAAAGACAGCAAACACAAATTACTCTCCTTTGTGCATTTGTCTCGGACTCTGTGACTTCATGTTCCAGGTCTGTAGACCTAACCGTCCAATTATCAATTATGTTGCTTGCTGTGTCTCCATGATCATCTTTTCACTCGAAACTTTCTCCCAGCTTGCTGTGGCAGATGAGCATGTCATGGCCCTGATTTTGTTTCTTCCTGTCAACTTTTCTTTTTTCTGCTCAGTTTTGCAAAGTGCTTTCACACAGAGTATTAATTGATTGATGATTTCTTTCTATAATGGTGTAAGTTGCTTGAGGCAATATTGGATATGTTGACCTTTTACCAATTTTACCACATTTACTAATCAAATCTCTACTACTAACAACTCAGTAAGATGGTTCACTGAAGTGGGGACACATGATAGATAACTGAAGTGAGCAAAAAGTAATGAGGTACCAACTGTGGAACTGATAAATCTTATTATTTCAATCAGAGATATAAGATGCATCAACTACCAGGCCCTTACTGATTTGTTCTTCACTTATTCTTAAGTAACAGCACACATTTATTATTAAAGTCCTTCCATATTCTATTCAACAGAGAATCCCACTGACATTGGAGCTGCAATCGTTGTTCTAGTTATCGTTTCCATTGCAGTTGTGGTAATCCTGGCAGCCGTGGCAGCTGTGGCAGTCGTTACCAAAGAAGAAAGGTGAGATCTCAGTTGTGGAAATGCAGAGTTTATTTTTTGAATTTGTGTTTTAATCCATACTCCCAAATTTGCACTTTTTAAAAATATATACAGCCACCTCAAAAATCAAAACACACAAACAGGTTATAGAATTTGGCATTTAGTATGTGAAGAAGAAATATGTTCTTTTTGAATGCAGCTGTCCAAATCCCATAAATCCCATCCCACATATATAATATAGATAAAACATAAAAAGTTTATAAGTTAGACAGATTAAAAAAATGTTATATTTACTTTGTCACTTCATGTCATTTCTGATAATTATGTATTATTCATGGCTTTTTGCTAATGCTGCTTCTCTATATTTATCTTCTAACTGGTTTGACCGACACTGCTCACTTGTTGAGCGGGGCAGTGTTTGTAAACACAAAAAGATAATCACTTCGTATTATACCTTTAAAAAGGTTAGAACATATCCAGACACAACAGTTCCAGACAGTAGATTGCCTTCGTGTGGCCGTCTTCACCACTTGGAGAAATGTTCCCACTCACCTCATGGAAACGCTTACATCAAGTATGCCACAATGAATTTTTGAAGTGATTAACAATAACGGTGGAGCTGCTCATTATTGAGTTCATCTTTGGAACTTTGATTTCTGTTTTGGGGAGTTTATGGGGTTTTTTTTGCAGGCGTGGTCCTAAACTTCTGATCAGCTGTAAAACAGCCTGTTTCAGTTTAAGTGTTGTTTTCAATAAATTGCATGCTCAAAAAATGTTTTGTCTCACTCTCATTTCCTCTTGTTGCGTGTTGAAGCTCGACTTGGAACCTTGTGAAGATCCAACCATGCAAAATATGATTTTTTTGCCATTTTTCAACTGGTCTTTAAACTTTTGATCGGGACTGTATGACAAGTCGCACTGACAAAAATCTGCTGTGAGCCCTAAAGGGAGCAGCCAAAAGATTTACAGAGTCCCTGCTGCCATCTCTTAGACTTAGGATGAAAACTTTTTTTTTTTTAAACAAATCAAGCTTTGAAGAAAGGACAGCTATAAACCCAGTGTCCGGCAACCTCGCCTCTGTCAGTGCGCCCCAGTGTGGCTGGTGCTACAATGTAGCTGCCATCACCAGTGTGTGAATGGGTGGATGACTGGTTGTATAAAGCGCTTTGGGGTCCTTAGCGACTAGAAAAGCTGTACAAATACAGGCCATTTACCATCTGGAGGCTGGCCATGCCTGAAGCGGGTGATCACACACACCTGCAGCTAATGAAGCCTCGTCGGGGAGCTACTTAAGAGTATGGCCGAGCGCTCCTCGGCGTGGGATTGTTGTGTGAGTGACCACGTCAGTGGTCTTTGTGAGCCAAGTGAGTGCATACCCACAGTGGTTAAGTGTTTAAGTGTCCTGATGGTTGCTTCTTTGTTATTTTATCCAGGAAGGAGCGTGGAAGACAAGAGCAGTGAGCACGGGGTGCCGGGACACACAGGAGTGGAAGAGCATGGAGCACGGACTTGTGGGCGGACACGACAAGGGAGTCAAGGGAACACACGGGGACTTATTATTCTGTGGATTATTTACACCACTGTAAATAAATGCACTGTTTATCATAAAGAGTCCAGCATTTGGGTCCTTCTTCCTCACATCCCCACGGTTGGCCAGCGCTAACCATGATAATTTGCGAGTCTACACAGTTATGAATCCATAGTACAAAGATAAATTCAAAACACAGTTTGCACTGAAATAATATACAAACACAGCCTTGTGTTTGCATTCAAGTAGTGAGCCATATAATGTCCAT